CCCTCGGTGCTCCTCTCCGCAGCGGCTGCAGCAGCGCCAGTCCGTCAAAGCAGAGGTGCGCCGCTCCCCTACCTTCGCCCGGCTGGGGCGGTCGCTGAGACCTCGCGTCTGCCTTGCCCGGTGCCCGCCCGCCGCCTCCGACGGTTCCAGGAGGATGTGGCTCCTCGCCGTGACGACAACTTTCTGGGGATTGTTGCTGGCGCCAGGTAAGCGCGTGAGGGGACAGGATGGTCCCCCTCGCCACCCCCCACGCGTCTGGCTTCGCCTTCCTCAGGCCGGGCGCCCGCAGGTGCGGGGACTGCCTGGCAAAGTTCGCGCGTGCCTCTCCGAGCCACCAACAAGGCGGCGGCGGCGTCTCTAACTCAGCCGCTTGGCTGCAGCCTGACTCGCCCGCTAGTTTGAGCCACTGGCAGCAGCAGCAGCAGCAGCTCGCCGGATGAACGCGCGGGTCGCATCCTAACAGTTGTTGCCACCTAGCAGAACAACCGCGGTGGCCAGGGAGGCGTTTGTGTTTTCTCTCAACGCGGAGAGCTGTTACCCGTAGGATTTTATTTAATTACAGACACCCCCCCGGCTAGACTTCAGGGCCAGAGGGCAATTGTCCCCCTCCCCTCTTTCCGGACAACAGCCCGCAGCTTTTGCTTGTCTCGAGGCCCGCGTTGCCAGACGGACGGCTCGCATCCCGCCAGCTTGCAACGCGCCGCCGCTGCCCCCCTCGCCCCCGCTCTCTGCGACCCTGATTCGTAGGAAAGAAGAGGCGAGCGGGGCGGCGAGTTATCTCTGGGAGCAGCTGCTTGTTTGCAGTCCTTGTAAGAGCCCGTCTGCCCACCTCTCCAAAAATGAAAGGGGAGGGAGAACTCTAGTTCCCGTACCAAGTAGCCTAGGGAGAGGGTTATTAATAACGCTTGGAATATTTATCTTAATAACCTGGAAATGGATTTTTGATTCCTCGCCCCTTCTTTCCCGCTGTCCCCCCCCGCCAGCTGAGTGGGGCAAACTCATTTGAGGAATGCGGAACCCGAAGCAGCCCTCCAATTTAATGAGTAGCCGAGTCAAGGTTGAGTCTTGGTCTTGCCCCGTTAGGGTCTTCTGCGAGCAGAAGACCAGATCCCTACGGATGAGCCAGAGTACTGATATATAGCAAGTCGCCCATTAGCCCGAGTCGATCTTTCTTTTCTCTTCGGGAGCTACCCTCATGCAGCCCTGGGTGTCTCTTGAAAACGGGATTAATAGGGGGCAGCCCTCCCCCGTTTGCTTCCGATCTTTCTGTTCAGCAACCCAGTGCCCCCGGCGGGCACAGGTATTTGATTCATTGCTCAGGCACAGCTCCAAAAGATAGTAAATATACTAAGCTCTCTCCTTGCCCTCGCTTTAACTTCCAGAAGGACCTCGTTTACATGATAAAAGAGGTGAACTGAGGATGCTTTGCAGCTGTAATTGTGCATGGCAAAATAGTAATTAAATCATTTGCAATTAATTAGTAGTTAAGTAAACCCTTTCGCACAGAAAAGCTCTGGAGCTGGAGCGCATATATTAGGAATGTTGCTTCCAGGTCCACTCTGCTCCCAGCGTTGTTTGTTTGCTTTTTAAAAGCACGGTGCTTTTAAAAAACTCTTAAAGGAGAGGAGAATTGGTGAGCAAAACAAATCAATTTTGTTACATTTCCTTATTGTTCATTCTGCCCCCTGCTGGATGCAATTTAGGTTGATGCAGTCAGGAGGTTTTGAAAACTTAGAACCAAAAATAACTGGCGAAGAAACCATATTTGGACTTCTGTATGTGGTCAGCATTTGCAAAACACCAGGCCTTAACTGAAGGGGATATGGCCAGAGGCAAATGCAAGAATCAGTTAATATGTGGGAGGGAGGGGAGTGTGTAAATAAAGGTAGGCATAGGTGCAAAAAACAGCAGTATTTAAAAAGGGGGGAGGAAACTTGACAACCCATGCAATCTTAAGCATTTACCCAGAAGGGTAACCAAGTAGGGTTTATTGTAATGTAGCATTAGAATTTGTTAAAGTTATTCTATCTATCTATCTATGAAACTTTCTATTTTAGGTTTTGCTTTGCAAATACAGTGTTATCAATGTGAGGAATTTCAGCTAAATAATGACTGCTCATCCCCAGAGTTCATTGTGAATTGTACTGTGAATGTCCAAGACATGTGTCAGAAGGAAGTAATGGAAAAAAGTTCAGGTAAGATAAATTGTGCTAATTATCACTTATTATGGACTATCTGTCTACTGTTCTCTTTGCATTTTCTTTTCCATGTAATTCAGTTATTTAGAGAATTCAAGCATATCTTCATAAGTAATGTAATTTGATCTGAATATATATTATGCCTTTTACTTCCTCTAATGTATATTACTGGGGTAATAATAATTCTGAAGTTTACTTTAAATGGAAAAGGCTTTACTTTAGTGCAGTAAAACATTAAAAATTTTAGGCCTGTTTAAAATACTGCGAACGGAATAACAAGTTCATCTAATCTCATTACACTTAATTACAAAGTCTTCTCCGCTCTGTTAGAAGAAAATGTACTGAATTAGTAGCTCTTTTTATTTACTCCAGCAATTCATGAACCCTGATGTTTGATCATGACAGGGAATAGATATGGAAATTGAGGTAGTAATTAAAATGAGACTGAGATATGTGATTATATTGTACAAAAAAGTGAAATTTACTTTAGAATTGCATATTAGGTTCCAAAAAGGTTTATATATTTTTATGTAAGAAATTTAAGGCAGAGTGCATACAACTTTACAGAAATAATGGATAAAATATTTGAACTTTTTGTACATCAGATGAAATAACATAAGTTTTTTTTTTTAATTGATCTCAAGATTCACCAAACTCCTGTGATTCAATTTAATGTGATATCCGTATCAGACAGCTTTTGGATTAAATTGTAAATTTGGAAGAAACAGGCTGATTAAATAATAGTTGCTCTTCTTTCCAAAGGTAGCAAATATATATAAAAGTCAAAATGTAACTGCTTTATCATTCCCACAATCTCATTTGAATTTCCAAAATGAGATTAGCCTTATTAATGTAAGATAATAGCATACATGGAGAGTACTCTATGTGACTGACCTTGGAGAAGAATATCAGAATGGAAGCCTAAAATATAGTTGCCAAGTATTGTTTATGGTTATTGCTCTAGGCATGGATTCATATGCATGATAGTTTTGCTAGAATCAATCTGATAATGAAAGAAATAAATAGAATTGTAGGATTTGCAGTTGTTCCACTTAAAAATATCACAATGATTAACAATAATATATTGTAATAAAGGCAAGATTTTCCTGAAATACTATGCCATGATAACAATCACTAGACTTTATTTCTGCTCTTCATAATATTTTTTTCTTAACTTGTGAAAATGAAAGGGAGAAACCATTCCAGTAGATTCAAAATACAATGTTGACTACTGTATAGGCAGGACAATTGCTTATCATCAGAACATGCAGTTGAGATTTGACTTGTTCCAAAGAATAAGACGGAGAGCAAGGCGTGTTTGTACTCTCTGAAAATGAATGGAACACATTCTCAAGTTCAAACACAAAGTTTCAGAACATTTTTTTTTCTTAATCCTTTTACTGTCCCCATATGGAATTTTAAGAAAAATGTACCATTTTAGTATACTCTTAGAATTTACATCAAGTTTAGACAGGTGTCTGAAATATGTATTTTGACCCAAAGCCAATTAATTAAAAAGAAAGATTAATCTGGAATGGCCTAAAAGGTGTTAAAAATACTTTGCAAACAAATCCCAGTTGAAATGTTGAAATGCTACTCTTCATTATATCATTTATAACATTGCTGTTTTGGACCACAACATTTTACCTCAAGTTACAATTTTAAAATTCTAACAGCCTTCCAGGAACCATATTAATAATATTTTAAGCTGGAAGTTATCAGGGCATAAAATGTGTCAGCAGAACTCCTTTATCTTGAAATGGGTTGCTTAAACATTTTTGGAAAACTAGATTCATCCATGTTTTAAAAGTAAGATTTTCAACTGGATTTTCAAGCTACCTGAGTTACCATGACAACATTAATTTCAAAGTTAGAACTATTCTAAACTGGCCCTTAAAGCTTTTAGAATGAAAATAGTGTGTCTTTTGTACTTTAGTGAAATTTATTTGTAATGGTTTCCATAAAAAAAGGGAGCATTGTTAATTACTTTTTTCCTTTGGCTTAACCAAACTGAATTTCCTACCAAATTATAACAGTAGTGCTTCACTTAACATTAGAACATCTTTTAACCATTATATCATACAGCTTTATTTCATAAGATATTTATTATTTTAAATGAGGTATTTTAAAATAATCAGTACAAATTCCTACTTTTAACATTAGACATTCTTTGACCAATAAAGGTGACTTAGTTTTCAGTAAACTAAGCAGGAGAAACCAATCTATTCTGATTTTAAGCCATTTTAGTCCCATTAAAGTCAGTAAGATGAAGCTTGCAGTATTTAGCATACTATTTAGTATATTTACTCGAAAATCCATTTAAATCAGTAGGATTTAATGTCCTTAAGAATGAATTTGGACTAGCAAAATGATCAACATTTGGCCTTCATTTGATACGAAAGTCTTCAGGATTCAGATCACCTGTAGTATAGTAACTGTTAATCTTCTGTTAAATTTATTTCTTTCAGTTTTTGACCAACATAAAATGTAAAATAGACAAAACAAAATTAATCCAGTAATTTTATATTTTTAATACTAAATGTTAATCTTAAATGTGTATACTTTTATGGTATACATATAAACTCTCCAAGTAAATAATTGTATAAGTTTAAAATCTATTAAATGTTTTGTACATTAAAATAACAAGGCTAAAATATATAGAATTAATAGCTATAAATAATATTTTATGTTTAGATCTTTGAGTTGCTTCAACATTTACTAAAACTCATTTAGCTTAGATAACGTAAATAACTTGGCCTTGCTCTGATCCTAACCTGGGATAACATGTGATCAAAATATTAGCTGTTAACTTTAAAAAAAGATTACAATAACAAAATCCAGTACTAAGATCAAAACACAAATATAGTATGTTTCTAGCCCAATTAACATTTACTAGATATCAATTCCTATCACATTTTATATGCTGCTGCACAGAGTTTGGCAGAATTATGTTTAATAGAAAAGTGATTAGATTTCAACAGAAGTACTGTGGGATAAAATGATGTTTGCTGGACACGTTTACACATTTAACTGGCTGTAAATACACGGAACTCAGAGGACATGTTTCAGAATAGACATATAGAATTTATCTCTGTTTTACTTGGGATAATATTGAATTTGTTTAGTCTTAAAATATGTGCAAAATAAAATATCACATTCACATACTTTAACTCACAGTTCAGTATTTGTTTAACACACCATTTTCTAATTCAATTTACCTTTATATTTGCTTAGTGCTAAATATCTCAGTACTGATTTTCATCATATAAGGAAGCCACTACATCTGAATTGTTACCTCAGTGTATATAATAAAAGAATTTGTAACATTGTAATTGCATTTTTCCAATTTAGTTTAGAGAACTAAATCCTAAATTTTATAGACCAGACAAAATCTGTTCTTATTAAAATAGATTCTTAGTTTATATGCAGCATATTTATTTTCTTAAACCTTACTTAGATATGAAATGCAACATTCTAAGACCATATTTATGTCAAAATCAGTAACAGAACGCCCCAAACCACTTCATGTAGCATATACATATCTGTTTCCTTCATAATAAAAAGAATAACTTCTTTTGATATTAAGCTATAGTGTTTATATCTTAGTAGCAATAATGTAATTCTCTTCTTAAAAGTCTGTTGATGTTCATTAACTTGAATAATGATAGCTCTGTAGATTTTTTTTTTAACCAGTCAGTTCATATGGCTTTAGGAAAATCTAAAGCAGCATATTAAAGCCCCTTTTCCCATGGTGGTAGGATTTAAAGCAGAATTTTTCTTTTCTGAACTAGTTTCTTTCATGTACCTGAACCTAGATTAAACTGAATCATATATTTATGCAAAATTCCAATTCTAGCTATCTAAAATCTAAGAATTAAATGTGGTACTGTTTTAGGAGATTTCCACCAAGATAACAGGACTTTTCCCTCTCTGCTTTAACCTACCACATATTCTCAGTATCTGCTCTGGACGTCTTCACAGAAGATTTTAAGATAAAACTGAGGACATCTGATTTTTCCTCTTCCCTTCCATAAATATATTTACTGACAAAAAATGTATCATTGGATTCCTCTTAAGAATAGATTAAACCAAAAAACATACTATCCAGATCGAGGGTAGAAGTAATGGCTCTTCTATCTTGTTAATTTTGCTGTTTTAACCTCAGAAGAATATTACTGGTTTACATATTATAGCAATCAGTATTCTATAGAAACTAAATTATATAATATAGTGAACTTATATGGTGGCCTTTATTATCTAAACACTTTTTTTTAATAAAGGCCATTCAACATTATGCACTATATGAATCTATAACAAGTTATACAGTACTCCAGATACAAACTCAAGTCTAGAATTTCCTTACAGGAGACTCTCCCAATGTCCAAAACCTGTGTTTCAGGTTTTCTGAACCACAGTACTCTTCTAAGGATGGCACTGTCAAACTCTGTAGGTAGTGGATTGCATCTAGTATCCCAAGTGTCTCAATACTGGAAATATATACTTACAGGTAGTCCCCAACTTATGAACGCAATAGGGACCAGAAAATTTGTCATTAAGCGGTGTGGTCATTAAGCGAGGCAACATGTGACTGCACCCAATTCTACATTTTTTGTGGCAAATCATTAAGCAAATCACCCATGGTCATTAAGTAAATCACATGGTTGTTAAGCAAATCACATAGTTGTAAAGTGAATCACGCAGTTCCCCGTTGATTTTGTTTGTCGGAAGCTGGCTGGGAAGGTCACAAATGACAGTCACATTACCCCAGGACACTGCAACCATCGTAAATACCTGCTTGTTGCCAAGTGCCTGAATTTTGATCACATGACCGTGGGGATGCTGTGATGGTCATAAGTGCAAGGACCAGTCATACAGCCCTTTTTCACACTGTTGTAACTTCGAACGGTTGCTAAACAAATGGTTGTAACTCAAGGACTACCTGTATAATTGAATTTTTAGCCTTTCCCTTCATAGTATACTCTTGGGTTTATTAGTAG